GAGAGAGAGAGAGAGAGAGAGAGAGAGAGAGAGAGAGAGAGAGAGAGTGTCACAGGTGGCAGGGCATGAGCAGGGCTTAGGGAGAGCAGAGGAAGGCCACACAATTACTGGTGTCAAAGTGAGTCCTACTGCGCTACACTCAGTGACCAGAGCTGGAAATAGCTCCTTATACATTTATTTACTTAGGAAGGCAGGCAGGCTTTCTTGTGGTTCATAGTTTGAGGGTTCAGGCTGCTATGGCTTGGCAGTGATAATGGGTATAGCTGTGGCTGCAGGACCAGAAGGCAGTTGGATACTGTGTCAAGAGTTCAGAGGCAGAGAGGGATGAATCCTGAACCATGGGAGAGCGTGGACCACATTCAAGGTGAGTCTTCCATGTTCAGCGAAACCTTTTGGAAACATCTTCACAGACATGCCCAGAGACCTGCCTTCCAAACAGTTCTAAATTTTGACAATCCAAATTGAGCGATGTACTGTGTGTATGTGTGTGTAATCTGAGGCTAGCAGGACACAGGTGCTTTGAAGAGGGGGACTAGCTGGGGAGAAGGGATGGAGGAGAGAGGGTAATACAGAAGGAGGAAAAAATGACACTAAATGTATTTGAAAAAGCTAGAGGGAAACCATTTCTTTTATAAGACATATAATCTTATACAAAAGGATGCTCCCCAGAGCCATAGACTATTATCTAACAAAAACTCCAGTGCTAGGAAGGGGATATTTCCATTTATGTTGTTGGTCAGAAGGGTCCATGATAGTCCCCCCAAAATATAGGCTATTGCTACTGCCCTTGGTTACCTCCCAGAAATTAAAACTCTGTTGCTGAAGACTATGCACTTAGGTTGGAGGACTCGGAGGACTCAATCTGGTTCTGGTCTGGAAGCCTCCTCCTTGAGGACCAGCGCTTACGGTGTCGGAAGGGGCTATGCAAGCTGCCAAGTGAAAAGCTGTCAGTCAACAGTCCTGCCCAGCTGTAGACCCTGAGAGCTTTGCACAAGCTTTAAAAAGGGCTAAATGATATGAACTGAAGAAACATGAAGACAGAGAAGGGAATTATTTTTATTTTGACTTACCACTGTACATTGCATACAGTATTACCATAGATATGTGCAACTTTAGGAAAATTGCTGTTAATTAATAAGAGTAAACCTACTGCATAATGGGAAAATCAACCAGCAGACTGAGGTGGAAGCTGTCTTCTCAAAGGTCTCCACTTTCTGGGTAACACCCTTGAATGTCAGCAACATGATACCCAAGCCAAATGTGCCCTGGGAAAGGCATCCCATTCTTCCTGCATCAACTGTGCTCCCTCACAGTCTGTGAGTTGAGGGCTTAGCCATAGCAAGGACAAACAGAGACCATGGGGACGCGTTTGCAGATGGCTCCCTCCTACCCTGCTTTTGTACTTGCCTTCTAAGAGAATTCCAAGTATCTGCAGCCTTCAGAATTCTACCCTGAACACCGGGAGACTTGAAAGACACACGTAGGTTGTCTGGGTGACAAATCAACATTTCTTGAAATGTCATCTTTAATAATTTCTTACATTATGAGTAATGCTTTGAATCACCGGCACACAGGGCAGCCGGGACGACTGGGAATGCATTTCCAAACTCTCATGCTGTCTGCTCTAGGTGTGGGTGGCGTAGAAGCCACCAGTGTCTTCTACAGGGCAAAGTGATACCCTGTGTTCCTGGAACCCCGAAGGTGCTCCAGCTGTTCTTTTCCATTCGGACCCAGTGTCCACTGCCTTCATCAGTCCTGCTTTCTCCCGCCTCCCTCTGGACCGAGCAGCCTTCTCCTGTCTGTGTAAGCTGCAATTCCTTGCTTTTGCTATACCTGAAGTGCTGTTTGAGTATTAAAAAGGGAAGGGTTACTTCATTCTTTGAGGGATAGAATTCTATAGGGTAGGATTTAGATGAGATTGGGGACATTCAGGGTGGTGTGGCTGTTGCCAAGAGTGGGATCCAAGATGTATTAAGTTTAACTGTCCACCAGAAACTGCCCAAACTAGGAATGAAATAATAGTAAAAAAAAAAAAAAAGCAATTTTTGAGGGACAGAGGCATGTCGGTTAAAGCTCAATTAGGGCTACAGAGTTGGAAGATTGTATCTAACATAGATGTATGTGCATTTTTTCCCCCTGGGAATCTGATGTTTGCAATTGTGGCAGCTGGCAAACATAGTTTTGCAAGACTGTTTATCTTTGCCCTGACACTGGAGCGGGGAGTCTGCACAGAGCAGGTGAAAACAGACAAAGTGAGAGCAATAAGCTACAACCATGAGCATGAATAGCCACGAACACAGAAACTCAGGTCAGATTTTGTGGCCTCCAGCCTGGGTTGAGTGTCTTAAGAAGGCAGACCATACATCCCAGAACTAGATAAACATATGTAGTTAGGCACCGGCTCACAGGAGCTTTGGAGGCAGTACACAGTGACACGGTAACAGACTGTGTGTTATGAAAATGACAGTTGTCTCTCATTCACCTTCCGAACACTCCAAAGAATCTCTCCTGGGTTTATCCTAATCAGAAACATACAGGGGCAGGAATTCTGAAAAACAGCGTTCTGACAAGTAAGGGTGACTCTTATTTACCAAGTGTTAATGGCTATGTTTACACTACTCCATTGAAATCCTAGCTCCCAATTTGAGAGTCTCAGGAACTGATACATGCATAGCCCTCACGAGACAACAGTGACTTTCTAAGAGATCCCAGGAACTGCCTTGGCCTCTTCCCACCAAGTGAGGGTATGCAGTTGTTAGCTATCTGAAACCTCGGAGAAGACCTGACCTCATCGTTAACCATTACTTGACATTCCAGTCTCTGGAACTGGAATTAGAGAAATACATTCTGTTGTTTAGAAGCCACATATGGTACTTACATAGCAGTCTGAGCTGAACAATACACCAAGTCAACATTGTTAAGATGACCAAGGGCAGCATCTACAAACAGCACGGCTAGTGACGATTATTCTATCACAGCTTCTCAGGTGTGGATGCTCACTATAGGCTTAGTCTCGGCCCACAACATGAAAAATTTGCATCAACTCTTTCAGAATAAATTTATACCATCTACCATAAGGACTCTAAAGGATTCTCAGGAGACTGTATGTAAGGCACATATGGAACACACAATGTCAGGTGCCTGAAGAGCAAAGGAAGGCAAACGTTGAGCAAAGAACCCCATTGCCAGAGCAGATTGCTTATCCCTACTTCCCTACTAACAGTGACTTCCTAAGCACTTCCTATTCTCCTTTGCTTGAGGCTCTTGTCTCTAGAGGAGGTATGCGTGGGGGCGGGGTGGTCTTTCAGAACAAAATACTTTCCCAGATCAGATTCTCCAAGCCACCCTCTGCACATCTACCTGGGGGCTGCCCTGTCACCCCAAAGAGAAAAATTTTTAGTTTCCACTGGGTGCCTCCTATCAAGAGCGCTTATTTGAAAGCTCATGGTATTCTGTTGCTAACAGCTACTCAAGAGAAGGGAGACCATGAAGATGGCCTCACGGTCACACCTTGCTCCATGGATCTTTCAGAATCTAAACACTGGTGATGGAGGTAGCTGCCGCGGCCAGCGCTGGCTTGAGCATCATTAGAGCTGCTGACCTGGTCCATTGCTGAGTTTTTGTTAAAGGTGATGTGCCCTCCAGGGTGACTGCTATTACAGGGGCACATGTTGGCTGATGAAGCGTTTCTTTGCTTCCTAATCACTCAACAGTCTAGGCGGCAGCAGCTGTGCAAGGAGAAGACACAGTTTACAGACTGAAGCTGGGGCCACCATACCTCTGGAGTGTCAGACGTAGGGGACTGACATCGGTACAGACAAATGTCACACAGTGTTAACAGTGAATGGTGAAGATCATACGGAGCAGCTGCAGTGAGGAGAGAGACAGACCACAGCCACTGCTGCGTCCTGCTCCCGAATGCCCCCAGGAGCATGCCTTCTGCAAACACACACAGGGGGCACATGGTGCCTTTCCTCTGCATTGGCTCTAGGCTTCTCTGTACTGCCCTTAGACTCTTTTTCTTTCTATGGACTGCAATAACA